CCAAACACTTCTGGGCCATCTTTTAAACCCACAGACATTTCCAGTCAGCCCATTTCACCCCATACCTCATCCATAGCGAACCATATATCATCCCAATCTACAGATACATTCCCAACTTCCAATCTGGCGAACCATTCCCAAATATCTTTGCCGGTGAACGGCGTGAACCACCCTTCTGTGACCTATGGACCGGTTCCCATTTCTGGGTCCGGCAATCCCTACACCGGAGATCAACAGACCAGTGGTCCGAGGGCCGCAAATACCAACCCAACAAATTCAGCAGCCTTCGGCCCCATCGACAACATGGGCCTTCCCGACAACTCCCTCCCGGCTACCGGCTGGACCTCTGCTCCAATGATGGCCGACACTCTGCAGACCGTCATTCTAATCGGAAAAGACCTGATTTCAGCTCAACCAATTCCTTCCCCGACCAACCACCATGAAGAAACTGCCACCCGCGATACCGGAGAAGCCATCATATTTGTACAGAAAGATGACATGGAAACTGTGGGACCAATTACATCAGCTGCGGACTGCACGCCCGGACATACCCCGTTCATGGCGTCTACGACGGCCGGCCCAAACATCAAATCTGCAGAACTTGGGCCCCCACCGGTTACCTCGGCTGGCCCTCTCTCTTTTCGCGAGGTTATTACCGGAAAAAAAGACGATGTGAAGATCACTCAACGGCCCACACCCAAGGATTTCATATTTATCGGGGAATATGAGCATTCGTACGTGACCATTACCCGCTCGGAGGGAAACAAAGTACAGGCTCATTTCACTCAGACCGAATCTGAGACCCTCGCAGGTAAGCTAGCTAACACCCTGGTGTTTAAGTTTTCTTATGCTATCCCTGCCCCCCGAGATATATCTGCTGGTTTAGGGAAATTGGGTTTTAAGGGTACTGTGACGCCTAAGTGGTATAATTTAATCACCTCCTAGTCTCCTTCCATCTTCTTGAGGACTATAACGAGACGAGGCTTAAGACTTCGATTCTTGTGTGTGGATGCCCAGCTAGGGTGTTCAAATACACTTCGGGGTTTAACCCGAAGACGGAGACGCCGCTTGTCCCCGTCTGGTGCCGCCTTCCTGGCCTCCCACCCCACCTCTACGACCGGGCTGCCATCACTACGCTTGCTAAGTGTATAGGTCAGCCGGTTCGTATTGATGCCCCGACGGCCCTCCAGTCGAGGGCCAACGTGGCTCGATTCTGCGTTGAGATCGACCTCAGGGTCGAGCCCGTCCACGAGATAGAGATTGTGCAGGGGTCGGATACCCTTGTACAGCGTGTGATCTATGAGAAGATCCCCGCCTTCTGTAATGTGTGCAACCATGTTGGTCATATAGCGGCCAACTGCTATATCATTGGCAATAAGCCACGCCCCACTCCGCCTCAGCGTCGTCATACGGCCCATCAGGGACCCTCCAACAGACGGAGGGAACCGAAGGGAAAGGGCAAAGGCCCTATCCAGACACCCGGACCCCCAAAAGGGGCCACGGATAAGGACAAGGCGAAGATGGATTACACTGCCCAAACTAGAAAGGATGCTCATCCTGACCAGTCTGATCAGTTCATCATAGTTGGGCCCAAGGCTAAGGCCACGGGCTTTCTTCCCAGAGATACTCTTCAGTCGGTCTTCAAGGCCAAACATTCGTTCTTTGCTCCCCTATCTCCTGGATCTAAGGATGAGGCTGAGCCTTCATCTAGGGACCCACACTGTCTCTCCAATCTTGGCCTTTTAGATGGCGACGATCTTTTAGGAGATGATTTAGAGCAGCCGGATACTTCACCTAGTGGCCTGGCCATCCATTTATCTCAGGACAGCATTCGTAATGTTGTCCCTTTGCCCGTCCACTGTCATAGCGAGGACTGTTCTCAGGAGATGGGGACAGCTCCTGCCACCACTTCCTCGAAAGAGGAATTGCGGACTCACCCCCCCTCTGCAGTGCTTGGGATCTCGACTGAGCATTTAGCTCTCCACCCACACTCTGATAGTGAGCACCCGAGTGCTCTACCGGATGGAGTCTCTTCCCCTCCCCTCCCGGAGCAGACATGCAGTTTTAACCGCGCTCAACATGACGTCTCGTGCGAGAGTTTCTCCTCCAGTGCATTTGTGCACAATGGCAGACAGGAGGCATGCCCGGAGATGGGGCAGGCTCCTAATATCAGTCTTGGTCAGACTGCTCAGCCTGATGATTCGCAGGCCACGAGCACTTTTCGAGGGCGGTCACCCTCGAAGACCATACTCACACCGCGTATGACGCGGCGGACTGTCTCTCTGGCCCTTCGTCGATCCTCTCGCCACCTCCCCCCTCCTGCAGGTGGTTTGATTCACTCTAGCCACAGGCGGACCTCGTCTGGTGGCTCGTCTCTTTGTTGATATGTCTATCACGTCCATTACTTGGAATGGATGGGGATTGGCTAATAGGGCCACTCTCGCTCACCTTCGCTCCCTCATTCGTGATCATAGATTGGATTTCGTCGGTTTTATTGGCCGATGATTCGTACACCTGACTTTGATTATTACTCTCGCCGATTGGGTTTCCAGTCGGGCGTGGGTAACATTTCTCATAAGATCTTCTTTTTTCACTCGCGTGATTACACTTGTCGGGTTCTCCGGGACACCAATCAAGTGCTTCATATTGAGCTTTCTGCAGCTCATCTCCCTGAGCCCATATTCCACACTTTGGTTTATGCCAAGTGTAATAGAGTCGGGAGATACAATCTGTGGGACACCCTACGTGAGATTGCTGAGAGTATGGAGGGATTGCCATGGATGGTTAGTGGTGATTTCAACATCTTTCTGCACCCCGATGAGCGTGTGGGTGGCCGCACGGACCGGTCCCGGGAGATGTGGGACTTTGTTCAGACTGTGGCGGACTGTGAGTTGATTGATGCAGGTTGTGAGGGTGAGCCCTACACGTGGGTTAGGGACGATCTCAAAGAGAGGCTCGACCGTGCTTTGGTTTCTGAGGCGTGGTCGAAGGTGTTTGCGGCTACAGCCGTTACGCATCTCACTCGATTTGGATCTGACCATTCACTCCTCCTTATTAGGTGTCGGTTTTCGAATACTCCCCGCCGCGCTTCCTTTAGATTCCAGAACATGTGGGTCCGCCACCACTCTTTCCAAGATACTGTCAAGGATTCCTGGCTCCACCCGACTGGGCTCTTCGGGATGCGCAATCTCGAGGCCAAGCTCGGCAGATTATGGCGTAGGTTGAGACAGTGGAACTGGGATGTTTTTGGAAACCTCCATCAGCGCCTTTTTGTGGCACAGAGTGCGCACGCGGAGGCCGAGCGGATCTATGATCTGGATCCTACTCCAGAAAATAGAACTGCGATGCACCGCTGCCATGTCGAGTACCAGCTCCGACTCCTAATGGAAGAGGATTTCTGGAAGTAGAAGGCGGCCATTCGCTGGGTGGCAGAGGGCGAACGGAATACTAGATTCTTCCAGGGCTTCGTTAGACAGAAGCGTGCTAAGTCGTACATCCATAGTATTGAGGCTAATGGGTCATCCCTGACTCAGGAGTCTCAAATTCGGGAGTCGGCTGTTGCTTACTTCCGGACCCTTATCACCTCTGATAGGGGATCCCCTGTTTCTCCGACCACCTCTTTCTTCCCTACCATCCCCCCCTCGGTCGACCTTGTCGACCTCTGTGAGATCCCGAGCAGGGAGGAGGTTAGGGATGCTGTATTCGGGATTGATCCCAACAGCGTTTCTGGCCCGGATGGGTTCTCTTCCCTCTTCTATCAGGTCTGCTGGGATATAGTCGCACCTGATATTGAGGAGGCAGTGTTGGATTTCTTCACTGGTCACCAGATGCCGGATTCCTTCACTGCTACCTCTGTTGTTTTGATTCCCAAAAAACCCAATCCGAGCTCTTGGTCCGATTACAGGCCCATCAGCCTGTGTAACGTGACCAACAAGCTTATTTCCAAAATTCTTAACGGCCGCCTTTCTCTTATTCTCCCCTCCCTTATCTCTCCGAACCAGAGTGGATTCGTCAAGGATCGGGTCATTAGTGATAATATACTTTTGGCTCAGGAGATGATCCATGATATCTCGCATGCAGATTGGAAACGGGCACCGAACATTGCGCTGAAGCTTGACATGGCTAAGGCGTATGATAGAGTCGAGTGGCCATTTCTTAGGGAGGTACTGGCTAGGATGGGATTCCCTGAGCGATGGATCAGCTTTGTTAGAGCGTGTGTGGAGCATTGCATGTTCTCAGTCCTGGTTAATGGTAGCCCGACTGATTTTTCCCCTCTTCTAGAGGCCTTAGACAGGGAGACCCCATTTCCCCGTCCCTTTTTGTCCTTGCGGCAGACTACCTCTCTCGATGCCTTGACGGCTTCATCCGCGATTATCCTCATATGACTTATAGCACCCGTGGCTATGGTCCTTCCGTCTCGCACCTTTCTTATGCGGATGACATCATCATCTTCACTCAAGCAGATGATGATGGTCTGATCGAGCTTATGCACCTTCTGGAGCATTATAGCTCGGTTACCGGCCAACTGATCAGTGTGCAGAAGAGCACATTCACCCTTTCCTCCTCCAGTGCAGATAGGTGGGCTCAGCGAGTCCACGAGATCACTGGTTTTGCTTGCGGCGACCTTCCCATTACCTACCTTGGTGCCCCTTTACATAAGGGCAACCTCACTAGGGCGCTCTTTGCGGGCATCAGGCAGAGGATGATCGATAGGATCTCTGGTTGGTCGCATAGACATCTTTTTTTCGGTGGCCGGCTTGCACTGATCAAGAGTACCCTTACCTCCCTTCCGATTCATTTACTTATGGTCCTCGATCCCCCTAGGTCCACTCTTGACGAGATTGACCAGATTATGGCTCGCTATTTCTGGGGTTACGAGGATGGCTCGGGGAGGGGGAGACGTACCCACTGGGTGAGTTGGGACTCTATCTGCCGCCCTCTCTCTGAGGGTGGCCTTGGCATCCGTCGCCTCAGGGATATAGTTACTGCCTTCTCATACAAGTTGTGGTGGCAATTCAGGGAAGGAAAGTCGCTTTGGGCTCAGTACCTTCGCGACAAGTACTGCTCTAGACGCGCCAACCACCCTTGTTGGGTAACGGCGGGTGCGCACGATAGCAGACAGTGGCGACGCCTTACTAGGGTTGGTAGACGCGCCCAGGATCATATTTTTTGGGTTTTGGGGGATGGTGAGGTTAGTTTCTGGGATGAGTGGTGGTTAGGTGATAGACATTTGTCTAGAGATAGGCAGGTGTCGCATTCCGCCTACCTGCTTTTGCGCGAACTTTGGACGGACAGGTCGTGGGACAGGGGGAAGCTTGACAGAGAGTTGGGCTTCGGGGCGGGTTTTAGTGAGCAGTTATTAGATCAAATCCAGCAGATACCCATCTCGGGGGACGATTCGAATGGTATGAGGTGGAATTTACATCATCGGGTGTGTTTTCTACTACCTCTGCTTGGGAGCAGATCAGGCTGAGAGATCGGCCTAATCTTCTCTTCGGAGCCATCTGGAGCGACCTTTTCACCCCTACCATATCTGTTTTCCTTTGGCGCCTTCTCTTGCGCCGGATACCTGTGGACACTATCCTACATGCGAGGGGGATCTCTTTCCCCTCCCGATGTGTGTGTTGTTCTGAGACTGGATGTTTGTCCCATTTTTGTTGCGTTTTTCCTTGTTATTTTACCTTTCTTTTATCACC